GATAGGAAAAGGTTTGTAGGAGTGTTTTATTGCACTGTTACATGAACTGAAAAAAACTTAGAAGTCAGTAACACAACAGTAATTTTAGCCCTGATGGAAAAATATTTCAATCTTAGACCTCATGACAGAACACAAAATGCATAAAGGGTCTTATCAACTTATCTGCGCTTCACTGACATTGACTGAGAGACAGGCTGTGTAACCTGCATTTAAACATTAAGTACGGCAAAAGCATTCAGTAGTTGCCAGTAGCTAGAGTGGTTTGGTGACTTCAATCTCAAATTCAAGATTCAGATTCCTGTATTTACTTCCCCTGATTCCTGTGTTGCTGCTCATGTAAACAGATAGCTTGGTCAATTCACTGGTTATCTCCTCCAGCATTCATTCTTACCAAATGCAACCTTTTCTGCTACTGAAAATTTTAGAAATCTGGGAGTGGAGGTTCACGTGGGAATATGCCCCAGCTATACATCAAATGCTGGGACCCAGCTGAGGGGGATCGTCAGGGGGGTTTCCCCAAGTGGTTTGAATTAGCTCTTGGGCTTCACCCAGGTTTTCTGAGCCGGAACTTCTGGAACATGGTTATTGCAAAAGGATATTAAAGCATTAATCATCCTATTATAAAAAAGTTAAGACACCAAAGGTTCCTGTTCTTTTTTCCAACTCTTACTATTTAATTTTCTTTAAGATCTAAGACAAACTCAAAAGAAAAGCTGGAATGCAAGTCACCGTGAAATGACGTACATTTCACTGCAGTGTGTGGGAAGAGCTGGCTGATTGTGAAACAGCCAAGCAGTGTTGCTAAGCAGCTGCTTTAAAACAGTAATGTCTTCTTCCATCACACATGAAGATTTGGAATTTCTACATTCTCAGTACAAAAAAACCCCACATTCATAAGAAAAGAAAAAAAAAAAAACAAATAGAAAAGAAAAAAAATGAATAGAATCTTTCATTTACTTATGTTCTCGTAATTACTAAGGAAGGTTAGTCAAAAATCATTGGAGTGAGAACATGTTCAATGCTCTTTCAGTTCAAAATATGTAATGGTTTAGTTTAGGTAAGATAACTGGCTTTACTATAACTAAATTTGTATCTTCCATGGAAGTTTGTCAGTAACATTTAATGCCTTCAGTGTGTGAGTCAGAAAACACAACTAAGTTACAGTAATAAATAATCTTTGCAACAACACTAACCCTAAAGATAACCACCTTATGCAGGACTTTAAGGATGCATGTACACTTTAATTCAGAGAGAGCCGCAAAGAAGGAAAAAGACTGACTCCAGCTAATGCTGGAATCATGCCCAGTTCTCCTCAGCTGGAGGTAAAAGTATAAGCTCAACACCTTGACAGAAACAGGAATGGGATACAGGAGGAGAAGGCAGGGAACTGACATCCCACAGAAAAAAAGTTTGTTGTGGGGATACCATTTTTGTTTCCATTTATCCTATCCTAGTTTTCATTCAGAATATTATCTCCCCGTTCCTACCACTTTTTTTTTTTTTTTTTTTTTCAGAGGTTTGTTTCCTTCCTACATTTTGTATCGCCAAAGACCAGGCTTTTATTTCTGCGTGGCACAGAGATCTGGTAACTTTTTACATCTCCCATAAAACAATCCTCTTTATGCATACAGAGAATACCACATTCCCTAGCTGTATTCAGGGTACAGCAGCAGAAACCTCTACCAGCTCCTCCCTAACCTCTGTCCAAGCACTATTAACTATCACAGGACTATCTAGTTATTAAAATGGGCAGTATAATTGTTCAAATGCAACAATTCTGAGGGGGAAAAGAAAAAGGCCACACTAAAAATTACTGCCAGTATGCAGCTCAGAGAAACAATACTAAGAGAAGCATCAACAAGAGTGCTATGCTGGGGACATCACACAAAATATTTGCATCTCTGAGGAAAATGCAAAAAAGCTAAAGGAATGTGACTTGCAGGAAAAATGCCTCTGCTCACTTACTGTCCAGTGCTGCAAGAAAATAAAACCAGTAAGGTACAGATACCAATCTTGTACGCTAGTCCTGTACTCATCAGGATGAAAGCTAGAAATAAAGCAGGACATAGCCATTCAGATAAAGGAGATTCAAAAAACACAACAGATTAATGACCCAAAGAGGTAGTGAAACACATCTTGATTGCTTACCAATTTAAGCTTTTACACACAGGCATAAAGCTTTCCAATTTCCACTCTTTTACCACATATCTACATGTAAACATATATGTATGTTAGAGAGGGAGACTGCAGCACCTTGAGAGAGCACAAGAACTGGGTAAACACTGATATTTTTCCACTGGCAACTTCTATAAGCATTAGCATGAGGCCACATTCTACAGGCTCTAAATGTCTCCACAAATGCAGCCATCAGGGAAATAAGATTAGCTGAAGTCACACGTTCTAAATGACACACCTTGGAACCTATATGATTGCCTACAGTTTTGTACTGCATCAGCATTTCACAAAGTACAATCAGAAAATGTAAGCGAATGCCAAGGATGCAGATGACTAAACTTGATTTCTCAGAATATTAATTAATAGCATCCAGCCAGGATATGAATAATGAGCATTTTTTGGAAAGAGAAAATTAGCATAAAATATTGTCAGAGCACAAGCCGGTAAGCAAAGAACCCTAAATCAAGAAAGATTCTGAAGATGGCCTGACAAAGAGACTACAGAGATGAAATTATACTCATTACTTCAGCTGCTTGATCTGATTGCCCTGTCCACTCTGTTCTCCAATCTGCAGCATATGAGCTGAAAAGCCATTGAATGGCAACTGTAAAGCTAATTATGTTTAAAGATGATGCACACAGTGAAGCAGTAGCAATCATTATTGATGCAAACAGTATAAAAATAGAAGGACACAGATTGCTCAGATGTACCACACACAAAGTAGTTCAAAATTTGGAACCTAATCTACTCTTTAGGTTGTATCTTAATTATGAAGAGCAAATATGAGGCAAGAATGTATGTATCCTTTCATTGAAAGACCTAGGCAAAAAGCTACATCATTAAAATTCAGAAAAAATATTTGAGAGATCATAATCTAATAAAGGCTAACCACAGCATATGATCTTTCACAGAAATCATCTATAGTAAGTTTTGGAAGTTGTAACATAAAAATAAATATTAAAATGTATTCACTGACAAAGGATTTTGGAGTCTACATAAACTATGCTAAAACATTGGCTAAAAATTCCTATGGCAGAAGTAAAACACGATCACAGAATTGAAACAGAGAAAATACTAAGTATTAGTTTCCTAACTGAAACAGTTCAGCATTTTCAAGTTTCACTAGTAAGCTCCCATGTGCTTTACTATATTTGTAAAGGCGTCAGGAAGCTGAGAAAGCCATATATGCACACCACATGAACTAATACAGTGCACAGGAGCTGTGATGATTTATGTTAAGTGAATAACCAATACAAATGATTGCACATGAAATTCAATGAGACTTTCTATATTAGAGCATATAGGATAGAAGAAAACCACTTCTAGCAAGATTATTTGCAGTAACTCAAGTACTGTTTAGGAAGTGTCCGGACAAGACCTCAAAAATGGAAGGCTGCAGTATTGCTTATAGCAGATTGCTCTAGCATTACTTCTATACACACATGCAGACACATGCATGTGTAGGTATGTACATACACACAGAGAAAACAAGAATCTTTAACTGCAATTAACACTAACTACTTCCACAAAAATTCAACCTTCAAGTTCTAGGGAAGGCCGTTCTCTGCTCTAGTCATGAAGGCTGACTCCCAGATGCTCTGCAACTTTATGTCTCCCCTAAGAAAGAACCCGTTTGGGTGGGAGGGCTGCCTGCCTGTCACAGACAGTAAGGGCTGTTCCCAGCTGGTTCTCTTCCATAAATCCAGCAGAGGGCCTGCTCCACCTGAGAAGGATCTGTCCTGTCTCTCCATTTGAGTGACTGTGGGAGCCACAAACCACAGGGCAGCAGTGCGTGAGTTTGCAGCTCCGAGTACCTCAAAGGATGGACAGCTTCTTGGTGACAGAGCTGGCCTTTGTGCCACGGTCCCTGTGAGCTGGCTTAGGAAGTTGTTTTCAGCCTGAAGTGGACATGCTGGAGCAAAGATCCAAACAAGAAGCATAACCCAAGCAAATCAGGGCATGACTTGGGGAAGTACTGTATGGTATGATGAATTTCTCCTAACACACGATTCATCAGGGTAGGTTTACCATCCCAGGAGACAATTATTAATAAACAGGACACACACATACTGGATGCTTGAGACTGGGTCACAAGATTGGTGGGGTCTTTCAGATTCCGATCTGCAATGGAAAAATGCACATGCTTCCAGAGACTAAGCAGCGTTTAGAATTTATTCAGCATGGCACTATGTGACTACAGCTTTAATGCACTGTCTATGTTGAGGTTTTCCGTGTCATCCTTTGGGTTCAGTTGCAAGTTTACAGCTTCTGCACTGACCCATATTTCCTTTCTTCATCTGCCACAAAATGCTTGACTCCAGCACGCTGATGAAATTACATCCAGGCATAAACAAGGGAGTAAACAGAAAGCTATGTTAACTTAAAGTGACATCAAGTACGGGAAGCAGCGTTTGTAAATTAGCTCAAATCGCTATTTCCAAACTTCTGAAAGGCGGCTGTGAACACGTGCGAAGCTGGACGAAACAAGCCGAACACCCAAAGCCGTCCCGGCGCGGCGGGAGCGGCCTGGCTCCGCAGGACCCGCGCCGCCGCGGGGTTGCAGGGTCGGCCCGCAGCCCGTCCTGCTCCACCGCCGGCCCCGGCGCGGCACCGCGGCACGGCGCGCCGGCCCCCGCCGGGCGAGCGCGGCCGGAGACGGGCAGGGCGGGCGGCACCGGCCGCGCTCACAGCCGGGCGGCCGGGCCGTGCCGGTACCCTGAGAGCCGCGTGCCCGCGGAAGGGGGCGGCGAGCCGGCCCGGGCACGCTGCCCCTCGCCCAGGTCCGCTCCCCCCTCCCCGGCCCGCTCCGAGCCGGGGGCGCTTACGGGAGTTGCGCATCCAGTGCAGCAGGCGCGGCAGGTCGGCGGCGCGCGTGCCCCGCACGGCCGCCAGCACCGCGCGCCGCGCCGCCGCCAGCTCCATCGCGCCGCCGCCGCGGGGGGGCGCCACGCGCGCCGCCCCGCGCACGTGCGCGCCGCGGGAGAAGCCCCGCCCCCCGCGCGGCCACACGTGCGCATGCGGGAGAGCGACACCGACCGGAAGAGGCCCTTTACGCACGCGCGGCCCCGCCCACCGACGCCCTCTCTCGGCGCGGCTCGCGCTACCGCTTGGCGCCGCGCCCGGCCCCGCCCCGCCCCGCCCCTTGCGGACGGCGCGGCCGGGGGAAGGAGCTCCGCCCTCCCTGCCCCGCCTTAAGGCGGAGCGCAGCAATTCCCGCCCGCGCTGGACGGCGCGTTTACATGCCGCCACCTTAACGACGCAGCGGGCCCGCGCACGCCCCGGAAGCGGAAGCCAGCGGGGGCCGTGGGGCGGCAGCTGTGCTGACGTTTCCCTGGCCGGCGGCGGCCGCGGCTCCTCGCGCCTCCAGCGGAGTCTCGCCGGGCCGGGCTGGGCACGGCCCCGCGCCGCGCTCCCGGTGAGTGCTCGCGCTGCCGCCGCAGCCGCTCCGTGAGCGGGACCGCGACCCCTGACGGCTTTAGTGACGTGGAGGGCTCCTGGCCCGCTCCCGGCGGGGTAGGAGGAGGCGCCGGTGCTGCCGACCCCGGGGAGAGGCGGCGGACCGTCCTGGGCAGGCCGGGCCGCGCAGGGCGCTCCGTCCGCGGGAGCCGTTCTGCGCCTCCCGGACCCGCCCGCAGCACCGCGCGGGACTCGCCCAGCCGCTGTCCCCCGCCGGCCGCGGCAAAGGTAGCGGCCGGGTACGTAGCCTGGGCTCTGCCCTCATCGTTTTTCGCGTGAAAACGAGGGCATTGGGCCGTAAGCGAGGTAGCCGTTCCCTGCTGTTGCCTTGAGAGAGCCTTCCCGACGTCAGCCGGGTAATTTTAGAAGGTGGAAACTCGTAAGTCGAGGTTCAGCGTAGTGAAACAGCCACTTCTCTGTTATAGTGTTAGACTTGCAGTTGGTCTTAATCCATGTATGTGTACATGTAGTACAAGTTTATTTTACAGTTTCTAAGTGTGTGTTTTGCTTGTTATCTTTTTAAACAGTTGCTATCTTTTAAAGCAGCTGTTTAAACTGCTGTTACCTGTTAAGCTTACATTTTTTTTTTCAAAACACTCTACGTTAGAGGATTGCTAGTTTTAGCTAGCAATTTGGTTGGAGATCTATGCTGGGCGTGTGAGCAGCCTGTCTCAGAATTGCTGCTTTGCTATGCCATAGTAAGGCACACGCTATTTCTGCTGCCGCTGTGTCCCTGGAATGCCGGTTTGTGGCTGAAGCGCAGAGCTCCCGGCGCTGCAGCAGCACCATGGCCTGGCAGCTCGGTGTGGGGTGCCCAGGCTGCTGCTGGGGCGGGGGACTCGGACTGCGCAGAGCCTGCTCCAGGCAGCCCACGGTGTCCTGGGGCCCAGCCGGGTTTAGCCCTGCCCAGCGTGTTTGGGGCTGCTGCGTTCAAGGTAAACTGCAGAGCTACTGCTGCCAGCACACGCACCTTCTGCAGTGCAGTTACTGCTAATGCCCTTCTGGCTATCTGCCAACCCAAGCTGGCTACCTGCTAAAGCATCTTATGCGTCTGTCAACTTGGATGGCCTGTGTCACAAATTCTGTTAATTTCTGTACTTGACAGCCCTTAGAAATTCTGATGACTTATGATTTCTTAATGTGCTAGTAAGAGCAGGATATATGAAAATGCTTAAACTCCTTTCCTTAGCAAAGGATTTGAATTATTCCTATTGTAGGGCTGTCAGAAGACAGCAATTCTGCAGAGGGAACGTTCATTTATTAGGACATAATTAACCTTCTGTATTTGGAGATCTGTAGAACTCTTGGAAACTAATTTTAAATGAGTATTCACATGACTTCTGTATGTCGGTCATCCTATCAAATTTCTTAGCTGCTATATCTAAGTGTTATAGTTAAGTTTTGTCATTGGTTGCTGTTTTAGCAGCTCAAAGTTCACTGAAGTGCAGCACTATTTTTAAAGGTCTGGGACTTTGTTTTTTCTTATACATTGTTATTATCACAGAAAATGACCTGGAAAATGTTTTGCTGAGACTGTTTGGTAGAGCCTATTAATGATAATGCTTATTTAGAATTATTCTGCAGTAATATGACTTGTATACCTTGTGAGGAAACCTTGGAGCTTTACCATTTCAGATAACATGTAGAAATCCCCTTACAGTAATGTAAGAAAATGGACATAAATGTCTATTAGTGTACTAGTTTGCAAATACTCTGCTGGCAGAGTTCCTTAGGAAACATAGACTAATTTTTAAGATTAATATTGAGATGGCATTGTAATGGATATCATTACTTGTACGTTCCACATATCTTAAATCTGAAATATGTAAATATGTTTGTGTCATTTGCCATATCCAACTCCTGTACCTACACGGGATTTATTTGTCCTACATCTTCTGAAGCTCCTGGAGACTTTGTTCTGCATTGTGACCTTAGTATCAGGGGAGGGTGGGTTAGACTGGAAGTTGTTTTCGGGGTTTTGTTGTTGGTTTAACCTACCAATTAGACAAAGCAATCTGGAGGTTGTCTTGCATGGGTGCCTTGTTATAGCTCTTTTGGAATATATATTTTATTGTTTATAAACATGAAACCATTTTAAACTGTGCTTTTTGGGGTTTGTGCAGCTGATAACTCTCCATGTGTGTATAGAGTGAGCTGGTTTGTTAGGCACATTGATGCCCTCTCTCTTAAAATCAGAATGTAGCTAGTGGTGCATTTTTCATTTCAGTAAATGGACTGGCCTTTCTTCTTTGTTTTCTTCTCATTTGAGGCAGGGGGAAGTCCCAAAAATCTTTGAAACTCTCATCTATTTTGACTACAGAGACTCCCATTATTGAGAATTTGGCTTTCAGTTCTGAAAGGAGGAGCTCAAATGTGAGATTCCAGTTTGGGCTATCAGCAAGGAAGTTGTTTCAGCTGAGTACAGGAAAGCAACACTGAAAGTGGAAGATAAACAAAAAGTATTTGAAGTGCTCCATTTCAGCAGTAGCTGTGGTGTTGCAAAATTTTGCTCTTCAGACAAGTTTTGTTTTGCCCTTAATCAGAATTTTAGGTTGCTGATTCTAACATGTGTTCTCCTGAATATCTTGCCACCCCCTAATAAAGGGGGTGGAATGGTTTTGCATGTTGACTAGAATGTGAACCCTTAAGAAATTAACTTTTTATGGTTTCCTAAGTGTAAGTTATGGTATGCTTTAGTCTTATATGTGAAGTTTGTGTTTCTAGTGAGCAAAAATGGTCTGTTTTTCCAGTACAGCCATTAGAAGCTATAATATGAATTTTGCTTATTAAAATGCAAATATGTTTGTAGGGTTACTGAAATGGGAAATTCAGCTTGATTAATGAAAGCTGGATAAAACACAACTGATAAATAATGTTGAATTTTGCTACCAAAATATTTTGCTTCTGGTCATACAGACTTTGCAGAGTTTCGAGGCTGTTCTGATAGATTTTATTCTGTCATGTAGCATATTGCTGATAAGAGGATAAAAAGCAGTTGGCATTCTTTCTGGAAGTCTGTCTGGACTGTTTTGTTTGGGTTCTTTTTCCATGGTGAATTCAATGCACATTTATTCTACACAGTGAAATCATTCCTAATTGAAGTGTGGTATCTCTCTTTTTAAGTAGGCTGTCAGGATTGCCTAAAATTAACTTCAGGCCAATTTTTCCTAAAATAACTTTAAAAAGTAAAACTTGTGCACTTTCTGGAATGCAAAGCAGGATTTTTGCCTAAAGGTTACTTGAATAATTAATTTGTGAATGTATAGCTTCAACTAGTTTAAAATTTTATTTTTTAATTTTTCTCCAGATCCTTCTGAGTCATCCTTGAAGCTGCCAAAATGGTTCTGGCAGATCTTGGAAGAAAAATAACTTCAGCCTTGCGCTCACTGAGCAATGCCACAATTATCAATGAAGAGGTATGTAGTGTACTAATGTGATGACACTAGCACTGGAAAAGTTCTGAGAAAAAGTTCTCAAAGGCTGATGAAAACCTTGAAGTGGGCTACATAGACTTTTTTTTCATTCAAGTAAAATTTCTAGTTAAGGTTTTAACCCCCTAACAGTATTGCTGGAACTTAAAACTAGATTTATACATGGGTCATCACCTCAGACATAGTGAGTCCCATGGTCAAAGGGTCCTTGAGCCTGGTGGCTGCACTTAGGGAGATGAGTGTTCTGTGGAGGCAGTGTGTGCCTAAGTTTGCGTGGAAGGTAGGTGCCTGCTCTGATTTGTGTGTGTGCACAGGCAAACTGTGCAGATGTGTACTAGGCTGCTAGAAGCTGAAGTGTGGAAGAACAAATGTAAGCCTTGCTGTCTGAAATGTGAGGAATGTGTTGTATTTGCTGCCTTTATATTCAAACCAGTGTGTGGTTCTGGAATTTTGTTTGGCTTAACGTGGCCTGTATTTTCTCTAAATAAGAGCTTGAAATTAGAAATGTGTTCTGTCATAGGAGCTCAATGCAAGGTGAAAAACTAACTAATGTGATGGTTTCAAAGTGTCTCTGAGTGCATAGATTGCTAGAAATTCTTTGCAGGTGGAAAGATGGGTGGCTTAAAGTAACTAAAAAAATAGGCTTATTGAGAGCTGTATGGTTAGAACTTATGCATAGAGAAAATGTTCTAATGTATCTTCTGCTGGGAGACAAAAAAATCCTTAATTGACTCAAATACAGCCCAATTAATTTTTTTTTCAGCAAAGGAAACTTTTATCCTGCAAGAGCTGGAGATGTGAAAATGAGACCATTTATGCAGGTGTTACTTTCAGAAAAATCTTTCTGTTCAAGACTTTGAAAACTCAGAATAAACAGGATTTCTAGCTGTGGCACTTGCTTGCCTAAAAGGCATACAATCAGAGCAGCAGTCCAGTTTTTGGAAATCCATGTAGCAGGGTGTCCATCTTTAGCCAGGGAATACTGTTACAGAAATGGTATTGTGATCTGAGATTTTTTTGGTGCACTCTCTAAGGAGTGCCCAGAGGGGCGTTCAGGAAGTCTCTTGCTGCCGTGTGAGCTGTTTGCCATTATGTAGTAGGAAGTGTTTTGTGTTAGTGTTCTATAGTGTGCAATTGTTACAATTGAGAGCCCTTCCCTTTCAGATTTAAATTGCTTTTACATAGGAAGAAATCCAGACTTTTTTTTGTGACAGTTGATTTAATGATAGGACTACATGCATTTAATTTGTGAAAGCCATGGTTATATTATAAATAGATTTTCACATTTTTATTTTGACCTAAACTAGTGGCCTAGTTAATCTCTGTGTATTGTGAAACAATCTTTATTATTTTTATTTTATACTCCAAAGGTTTTAAATGCTATGTTAAAAGAAGTATGTACAGCATTACTGGAAGCTGATGTTAATATCAAACTTGTGAAGCAACTTAGAGAAAATGTCAAGTAAGTGTAATAATAAAAATGCAATTAACTTTTGATATTTGTAAAAGTTGTAATTTGAGTTTACAAAATAGCAACTTTTTAACTTAATATATAACTTAATATGTTGGGTTAACTTATAACTTAATGTGTTGGGGTTTTTTTTAGAAACACCCAGTTGACATTTAACAGGAAAACAGCTGTTTGAACTAAATGAAAACAAAAGAGTCTTTGGTCAAATTTAGCCATTTATTGCTGTTACAGGCTTGTTTCAAAAATCTGTTGCTGTCATCAGTTGAGTCGTCTGGTAAACAAGTTCTTCATTACTTCCTAGACACATCTTCTGGTTATAAATAAACCTGTGTATGTGACTAGCACTGTTACTTTGCCTATTTTTAGGTTAAGTATATGCAAGTCTGAAAGATTTTAGAAACCTTTGTCCTCTGCATAAGAATGTCTCCAGTGCATGTCACTTCTTAAGTACATCCTATCTGAAAACTCAGAACAAATCAGGGTGCTGTTGCAATTGCAAAAACTTTATTACTAGGTTCAAGCAGTGCTTTAACTTATGCTAGTGTTTCATGCTTTTCTCAAACTCAGGTCTGCAATTGATCTTGAAGAAATGGCATCTGGCCTTAACAAAAGAAAAATGATCCAGCATGCAGTCTTTAAAGAGCTTGTTAAGGTAGGACTTCAAAATTCTGCATTGCATTACTTTCCTTGTACAGTAAGGGCTTGGAAGTAATGCAGTAGCAAGTCAAACTTTTAGGTGATTATGTGGTACCTGCAGTTGTGCTTTCTGATGTGAAAGCATAGCTGCAATACTGCAAACAGCAGTATTCTCATTGAAACTACATCCTGGGTATTTCTCAAACTGACTTTAGTTTAAGCTTTAAGTTCAATTGTTCTTATACATCAATTAAAGTGTAAAGACAAGAATAAAGTACTGCTAGCTTCTAGACTGCCTCTAGAACACAACTTTGCTATCCTAATGTTCAGACTACTTACAAGCCTTTAGAAAAGTGATAAGTAACAACCCAACAGCTCAGTGCAACATTTCTCATTAATCTGCCTGCTTGGTCAAATCAAGACTTGAATATCTGTATTCTGCCCTCTTTCCAATTAACAGTGTAGTCATTTGTTCATCTGTAGTCTGTGCCCAGAGGGGTAGTGGCTCTCAGGAATGTATCTACCTTGTACTCATTTCACAACAATGAAGGCAGCAATCTTAAAAAAATCTTCTGTGCTGTAGGATTCTCACTGGAAGAAGCCCATCCTGAGGAGTGGCAAGAGTGGGTGGAGGTCACCTTTCTGTGTTGGTTGTAATTCTTGTGCCATATATACAGGCCATCCTGACTGTGATTGGTGTGAGAAAGAGATTAACACTGTTATTGCAGAATTATTATGCAGAACATTATATACTATAGATACCTTGTAAGGGCTGTTGTTGTTCACTGTAAATCAGCAAAAATCTAAGCCAAATTAA